TCTCCTTTTTCCCCCATGCTCCTCCCTATCCCACTCCTCCCTAACCCCCTAGCATTTTTGTCTATGTCCATTGGTTAATGCATAAGGTAATTTCCACCTTAATCATTTAAAAAGAGTTACATGGTTTCCAGTTAAACAAATCATCATATACGGGGTACTAGCTGAATTGTGGGGTTTTATCTGAAATAGTTGATTTGTCCTCCTGTAGGAGAGTACTAGGTAGTAGAGCAAGCTGTCTATTCAGGTACCACTCCTAGATCATGCTAATGGAAACATAACATTTGTGTGTACAATAATAATTGGTTTGTTGCTGTTATTTAAGTGTGTGTGGGGGGAAGTAAAAGTTGGAGAATGTATTTTGCATTTTCAGGATGTGAATTATAAATACGGATGGCAGGGACTCCAGAGTTGACCCTATTTCAGTCTAGCAGAAGTCATTATCTGATTCACCAGATGACTATTTTTATTAGTCCAGGTTATGGCAACATTAAGCTCTAAATTCTATAGCCTTGTATGAACCATGTGTTCATGTAAAACTCATGCAAATTACCTATAACCTGTTTTTTCCCCACACAATTACCTGTCAAAGAAGGACAGATGTCTCCATAGGGGGACCGAGTATGTCAAAGGTAAGAATCAGAAATTTCTGTAACTTAAATACACCTACTCTTTCTTTAAAAATACTGGTCCAAGAAAACTCGACTTGGAGTACATCAAACAAACACTGGTGTGCATTTACTGACATTTTCAGTAGTCTTGCAATGTGAAATGTAAAAAGATAGCCACTGAAAATAGAATTATTTGAACTCTGGGTTCAACCAGAAGGAAACATGCCTATGGATGAGATAAAAGCAAACAAATTAGCCTTTTTGAAGGTGATCTTTACTCCTGTAGTGTACACAACGATAATCACTCTTCAGAATTATCGCTGAATATCTCTGCCAACATGTAGACAGAAGCTGGATTTTACAAACTCGGGGAACTTAAACTGGCTGTTAGACTAGGTGGATAAGAGCCTCTTAGGTATAAATTGAGATCCAGCCTCCAGAACTCCTGGCAGTACCCACAGGCAGATCTAACAGTCTTCCCACAGGAATGTATTTTATTAATTCATATTTTCACCACTAAAAATTCATAATAAAGCTTCCATTTGTGTTGAGTTCCCCCCCACCAAAAGTGACAACCACACAAATATCGGGTGAAGATAAATAAAAGTAGGGAGAAGAGCAGGTGCCAAGATTCTGAGATGAGAAAAAAAATGATATTTTAGCTAAGGAACAACATAATCAGGAGTATGATTACTTTAGAAAGGTAGTCTGTCTGCTGTGGGGAAAATGCACTAAGGGCAACAAAAGTGAAAATGACAGAGTAATTTTGGTAACATGATGGTAGCTGAGCAAAGGAGACAGGATAGAATGGATTCAGGGGGTATGTAAGAGCAGCCATGCAATTTGTTGACAACAACAACAACAAAATCCATGTGCGTCGTGAGGTGACAGTTGCTGACCTTAGGAGCACTGAACGGGCTGGTTTGAGTGGGAGGTGGATACAGCTTGAGATGTGGCACTTTGAAAGTTAAAGTGAATATTTAGCCAAAGATGTTCCAAAGAGGCAGGCATTCAACACCCAACAGGAACATCCTCATGTAGTCTTTCAAAGGAAATAGTGTGCACGTTTTGTTCTAGTCCTGCCTGGATAGAGACGGCTCCAACCAACTTCCTCACTTTCAAGTTTTTGTGCTCACATCCACATATATTCTTCTAGGGAAGCATAAACAGTCGAAAAATCCCTTGTAGAGCTTATTAATGCAGAACCAGGGGCCCCACTCTGAAAAATACTATTAGAATATCTTGAAGTGGGCCATTTAATCATTTTAATGGGTGCACTGTGTGTCCAGCACTGTGTTAACAATTTTCACATACACTGTCCTATTCAATTTGTTACTTAGCCTTAATAGGTAGGAATTAGATGATCGCATATTTATAGAAAATTTGTCCAAAATCTTTTATTTGGTAAGTGAGAGCATTAACTCAAAACCTGAATGATGAGTTAGGCACACATATACACACAATCACACACCCACAGGTACATCAGCTTATATGCAAAGGCAAAAAACAAAAAATACACCCTGAGGCAATTTTAATGCACAGTCAAGGGCAGGGTTAATATAAGTTTCTTTATACTCTTCCCTTGAGAGTAAGAAGAGAGGGTGTCAGGGTCCCTCAGGCCCTCGCTACCTATCTCTTCCCCACGTTGAGCGGTAGCCAGAAAAAAATAAATGAGGGACTCAAACTGCCCATCAGTCTCTTCCTCTCCCTTCCACTTATTTCTTCATTTAGTGTGTCTGTCCCTGTCACAGATTATCCGAGTGTTGGTCAACACAATCTTTCTTCTCTCTATTTGGCTCTATCCCAAGATTAGGTGAGTCCTGGCTGTTCAAAGGGATGTGGTTGGGACTCAGATTTGGAGAGAAAGGGGGAGCTAATGAAAAGCTCTGGGCTTCATTTTCTAGGAGCCATGAACTAAGCATTATAACTTTCTTTCCTGAGCAACTTCCAATTGTAAGCCAAGGTCATGGTCTCCAGTACCTGCATATATGCTCCATCTAATGAACTCTGAAAGATTAGTATAAATGGACAATTATATAGTTGGTTAAGAATGGCCCTTGTATGTGGTGTTCAGGCAATTTCTGTATCAGACATGTGAAAAGGACCCATAGCCCCAACCTAAAGAGTGGAATTAAGCCTGTGGGTTTGAGCACAAGGGGTGCTCTTTTTAGTTTTTATGCACCTGTCCATTTTGAGTCTTTTCTTTACTCTGTGGCTGGACAGCTAGTAATAATACTGCTGATATAACATGTAATCTAATAAAAAGAACAAGTTTACATGCTAATTATGTGCCAGTACAACACTAAAGAATGGTTTTGGGGAGTGTCTTATTTTATTTTCATAATAACTGCAAAAATTAGATAGTTGGCCCTTTCTGAAAATGAGGAACCCATGGGTCATATCATTCAAGTTACCTTGCCCAAGGTCATACAGCTAGTAAATTATGAAACTGGGATAAAAGTGCCTACTTTCTTCATGTGTGCCCATGTATGTCTGTAAGTGCTTCTGAATGACTGTTTAAACATCTCTTATGTCTGAGTGTGTGAAAATGCAAAAGCTAGAGAAGCCCTTTCCTCACATGTGTATAAAAGAAGGATGTCCTCAGATGAGCTGGAAGAGTTGTGATTCAAAATATATGATTTTATGGGCTGGTTCCACGTACTGTGGAAGTACATGAGCAGCACCGCAGAGAGGTTTCAATATGAAGGCTGAACAGCCTGATCAGATCTCTTTGTTGGCAGTAGATGGGCTCTGGGCCCCCAGTGGACAAGATCGCCAAAATGAAGCTAAGCTGGAGAACATAGACACTCAGCATATGGGGACTGTGTTCTCAGACCTAGATTATATGAATTAGGAAGACTTAGTAGGCAAGAGTTTGAGTTACTATAAGAAAAGTGTGTGTGTGTGTTTTTTGTTTGTTTGTTTGTTTGTTTGGTATGTGCCCCTAGTGGGAACTGAACCCGGGACTCTCTGGTCCACAGGCTGACGCTCCAACCGCTGAGCCAAACCGACCAGGGCATGTTTTTTTGTTGTTGTTGTTTTTTAATAGATAAGGGAAAGTCAGACAGAAAAGAAGAGAGCATCCTGTTTCTCATTTGGCAAAAGCAGAGGACTGGAGAAAATAAGTATTGGTCTGGGAGATGGAAGGTATGGAGCACTGGGCCTAAGAACAGGATAAAAAGTGGGGGTAGATATAAGGTTGAAGGTGGGTTATGTCCTTGTCAGGTTTGGAATCTGAGGTGTATGGCCATCACAAGCTTCTTCTTAGTTCTGATCTTGGGAGTCTCTGGCTTGCTCTATGGTTCATTGTCTGCAGATTATAAAAAGCATTCTATGTTGGGGAAGAAAGAAGGTATTGGAACCCAGTCTTTAAAAACAAAATTCTTTCAGTAAAGGTTTTGGGAAGTTACAAAACAAATAGCAGTACCAAAATCCAAAATCCAACCATAGGATATTTGGTTTATATTTTATTGGTGTGTGTGCAATGCGTGTGTGTGTGTGTGTGTGTGTGAGAGAGAGAGAGAGAGAGAGAGAGTAAAAGAGAGAGAGAGAGAAAGAAAGGGGAAGGAGAGTTTATGTATGTGTAAGATAATGTGATGATAAAAAGTGTGAGAGAATATCAATATAAATCAGAGTATGTTTGTGGTTGTAAGTATTAAGTGTGAGCGTGTATCTGAGAAAGTATGGGGGTCCATTGTCTATCTAATAGAATATGTGTTGACAGAAAAACAATCCTTCTTTTGGATAGAAATCTATATCCAATAGATAATAGTGTCATTAAGTACAAAAGATTAGATTATTTTACAGCTGAATAGTGTATAGAGTTCTGAAAAACGTTTTGTTGTTGTTGTTGTTGTTGTTGTTTTCCCCAATCACAAAGGCTCATGAACCTTAGTTATAGGGAACTTTTCTAATTTAAAATTGAGTTATCTAGCATAGTGTAAGAACTTTGCTAGTGTTTGTTAAGCTGATTTAGGTTCTTGAATGGGAATGAAGGGTTGTTGGCCTCACAAATCTAAGAGCCAGTCACCAGGTAGTTACAAGTAATTTCCCTGAGGCAAGTATATTCTGTAGTTTGTTAACTTGTATTAGGAATATACTGTATAATGAGAAGAATAATTGTAGCCAGTCTGGAAGGCTGCCTGGGGAAAGTTGTTTAAATCAGCAGAAGATATTCTCTTTATGTAGAACAACTGTGCATTCCAAATACATTTATGACAATCCTGGTTTATGCATGTGACCTGCCATTGTTATGATATCAACTTTTATTCAGTTCAAAAATTCTTATTTTGGATGATGAATAACATAATTACTTTATCTTTAGGAATCAATAATGATGAGTGATTGGAAGTGAGTGACTCAAGTGACGCTAACTGTCCTTTACCACCCTCTGTCCTCAGGACCTGTGTCATCTTGTTCTGTCATGGTCACTTTCAACCTGAGCAGTTACAACACAGGACCCTTCATCCTGGTGGGGATCCCAGGCCTGGAGCAATTCCATGTGTGGATTGGGATTCCCTTCTGTATCATCTACCTTGTGGCTGTGGTGGGAAACTGCATCCTTCTCTACCTCATCGCCATGGAGCGTAGCCTTCACGAACCCATGTTCTTCTTTCTCTCCATGCTGGCCATGACTGACCTCATCTTGTCCACAGCTGGTGTTCCTAAAACACTCAGTATCTTTTGGCTTGGGGCTCGAGAAATTACATTTTCAGGGTGCCTTACACAAATGTTCTTCCTCCATTATAGCTTTGTCCTGGATTCAGTCATCCTGACAGCCATGGCATTTGATCGCTATGTGGCCATCTGTTCTCCTTTAAGGTATACCACTATCTTGACCCCAAAGACCATCATTAAGATTGCTGTGGGCATCTCTTTTAGAAGCTTCTGCATCATCTTGCCTGTTGTATTCTTGCTCACACGCCTGCCTTTCTGTCAGACACACATCATACCCCACACATACTGTGAGCATATAGGTGTTGCCCGGCTTGCCTGTGCTGATATCTCCATTAACATCTGGTATGGCTTTTGTGTTCCCATTATGATGGTCATCTCAGATGTGATTCTCATTGCCATTTCGTACACTCTCATTCTCTGTGCTGTGTTTCGCCTCCCTACTCGAGATGCCCGCCAGAAGGCCCTCAGCACCTGTGGTTCCCATGTCTGCGTCATCCTCATGTTTTATACACCTGCCTTTTTCTCCATCCTTGCTCATCGCTTTGGACATAATGTTTCTCGCACTTTCCACATCATGTTTGCCAACCTCTATATAGTTATTCCACCTGCACTCAACCCCATTGTCTATGGAGTGAAGACCAAGCAGATCAGAGATAAGGTCATACTTTTGTTTTCTACCAAAGGTACAAAATAATTCATAATGGAAAAACTGGGCTAAATTCACAATGTATATTAATATAGCAAGAAATAAAAAAAGCAAATGATATTTAAAGTAAGAACTACCTGTGGGTAATTTTGCATTCCAGGAAAATGGAATGATCTCTATGAAAGAGATGATTCTATATAGAAAAGTTCCTTGATGCATTGTTTGTGGAGATTCTACAGGATATGATCAGGAAAAAGGAGATGAAAATAGAGAGCTGAGTTATTCTAAGTAACTTAAAAAAAATTGAAAATTGAGATGTACAGTTTTGGAATAAGAAAAATGTGTTAAGTGAGACAAAAACACTGAAGCAGAGACTTGAAGTAAAAATATAAATCAGAAATGTCTTATTTAGGGAATTAGTGGATGGATTTAGGGTATTTATTATAATATTTCCATGTTATGCTTCACTGTAATTCCCTTTACATATCCCATGCCCCCTGCACACATTTTCAGTACAAGTCTGCTGTTAGCAACGAGTTCTATGAACAGTGTCATAAGGGAAATGAGAGAAGTAGCATATTTATCAACGCCAGGGTTGGAACTGGTGCTGGGAGAGGAGAAGCCTCTTCCAGGCTCCAAGCCACTTTGAGGAAGTGAGCTCCCCAGGAGAACATGACCCCTGAAAATAATTGGAGATCTGGAAATTATTTCTCATTGCGAGTGCTAAAAAAAAACTTTGGCTTCCTTCACCATCATACATAGATGAGTCCTCAAGCTAGTTCATTTGAACGCTAATGTTAAAAATGTACCCCAGAGTCCAGAGGACTAGAGGAGCTCATATCTACAGAATGCATTTTCTTGATTGCAAGAGAGAGTCCATTAGAAGACACTTCTGCAGTGAGGAAGGGGATGAGGAAGGCAGCACTACAATAAAATAACATCTACGGCAAGGTGCATCCAAACCTCACAAGCATTAGAACTGAGTAAATATTATATGTTGTGATAAAAAATATATATATAGAATCCTGCCAATACAGTTTTAAAAATTATTCACTCATTTGGAAATTATTTATTGAGTAGATACTATGATCCAAACATTATTCCAAGTATTCAGAATAGAAGGTAAATAATAATGAAAGAGAATCTGCCCTGTTTCTATGGAGCTATATCCTGGGAAGAGTAACACATAAGAATCAAGAAAATAAATATATTTATTGCTTTCAAATAATAAACACTAAAAAGTAAATCTGAGTAAAGTGATGAACTAAAACTGGATGGAGAGGACAATGGCAGAGAGGATGAGAAGTGCGGAGTCATGGGCTAGAAATGCATGACATAAATTAAGGGCAGTCTGGAGCACAGTGAGGCGGGGATATGAGGTGAGGGATGAAGAGGAGCAGGGCCAGATACTGTGGGACTGAAATCATCCAAATCTTATTCTTGGAAGAGGAAACTGAAGCCCACAGAGTGAAAATACCTTTTCCAATGCAGACAGAAAGGAAGTCATAAATGTGGAATTAAAATAGAATCTCTAGCCCACCGGTTCAATGATTTTTCTTCCCAGAGAACACAACCTCACTTTTGTGAAACCAGGCTTCACAGGAAGAAAAAAAAAAAAAAAAATCAGAGCCTTTTTTTATTGTGTCTACGAACTCTAGTTGTCTTAAATTAAGCTGCATTCGACTAAGTCAGGCTTTTGCTTTCTCTGCCAACTTGCTAAAAATGCTCACAAATATCAGAAGAGATTATCCCTTATTCTCTACTGGTTATTTCCATCTTGCTTAGAACGTGAATTGGCCAATAGCTGATATTTTTTAAAGTTTACTGAAGGAATAATAAATAAATAGAGTCTGAGCCGAGAAGATTTAGAAGTACATACATCTTTTATCCTGGTAAGAACTCAAGCCCATGATTATTCACGGACACGCACCGATGACTTCCGAGAAAGCTTAGTGACCTAGAAAAACAACAAAGAAGGGATTGTCTCCAGCACTGTCCCCATTTCCTCCTCTCACTCTCTATCTTTGGCCCAGTTATCAGTTACTACTTTTCTACCCTTTCCAGGAGAGTTCATTTCTTTCTATGGCTTTATGGACTCTTTGTTGATAACCCCATTTTTCAGTTTTGATATGTGATCTTCCTTATAAATGTTAGCATCTGCTTTCCTACTTCAGGGAATCAGTACTAGGATTTTAAAATGTGTAGATGAATATGCTTTGCAGATTTTAAAATACTATTCTAATGTTAGCCTTTATGTTAGTATATTTACTAATTACCCCTGCCATTCTCATTTAGGACCCATCATGTTTAAACCTGAGCTCATCATTAAAATTATCCCACCCCACAGCATAGGGAATATAGTCATTATATTTTAATAACTATGTATGGTACCTGCTAGACTTATCAAGGTGACCACTGTAAGTCATATAAATCTAATCATTATGCTGTACACTTAAAATTAATATTGTATAGTATGTCAAACGCAATTGAGAAAACCAGAAAGATGAAATCTCCCTCCCCTTTACTGTTTATGGGAGGAGAAAACAGATTAGGCCCAGCTTTGCTCTTCCCTCAAGTTCAAATTTACTATGCTAGCTGCCAGTGGTTCTTTCTGGTGAGACTGATCACAAATATTCTGTTCCAGTGTCAGACCATGAATGGAATTACATGATTTTAGTTCGGATTAAAAAAGAATAACTAGCCCAGCCAGTATGGCTCAGTGGATTGAGCATCCTCTCATGAACTGAGAGGTCCTGGTTTGATTCTGGGTCAGGGCACATGCCTGGGTTGCGGGTTCGATCCCCAGTAGGAGGCGTGCAGGAGGTAGCAGATCGATGTTTCTATCTCTCTCTTCCTTCCTCACTCTCTAAAACATCAATAAAAAATATATTAAAAAAAGAATAATTATACAAAAATTAGCAAGTAATTTTCTCACACATAATTTGCCTCATCCTATATCTTTTTCTTTTTGTGAATTCCACATCTTTTATATTAGATATTAGATGTAAGATATTAAGACCCTATCAATAAGGGCATTGACTTATCTTTCCATCCTAAGAATTTAGAACGCTATTCTATAGAAAGTTGGGATCAACGAATGTGCCCCTTTCTTTTAGACTTTCCACATCTAACCATTCTTTTCCATTGTTTTTTCTTTTCTTTTTATTTATTTTTTTTATTTTGGTATGTGCCCCTAGTGGGAACCAAACCCAGGACTCTCTGGTCTGCAGGCCGATGCTCCAACCGCTGAGCCAAACCGGCCAGGGTCACATCTAATCATTCTTTAGGTCTTTAGCCACACTCACTCTGCCATCTCATCTGTCCCCATCTTGTCCAGATACCTGCAGCTTTTACCTAGACTCATTACTGCATACATACTTGATGCCATATGCCAATAACAATTAGACATGGTTATTGTGTTCAGAAGAATAATAAAGAGGTTATTTAAAATGAGTCATGAAACGTTTATAATGTTTGCCTTAGAGAAAAAGGGGCAGTTGGAGGTTTAAATGCCTCGTGTTTGCCAATAAATTTGTAAATAATGTATGTCATAATTTTAGTCCAGGAACATTCACATAGCACCTGTTATGCAGAAAAAAGCACGTATACCTGGGAGTAGAGATGTGAAGCAAGTACACATGTGGCAAACAATGAAGAGGTTTATAGCTCAGCCCAAGGAGGAAGTCACACCTGTAGATACTTTATTCAGATTATTTTACCGAATGCAATGATTGCTGTAGCGTATTAGGGAAGCACAACAGAAGACTACTCAACCATTTGTTGGAGTCAAGGAAAACTTCCTGCAAGAGTTCATTTCTGTGATTGTTTGGAATAACACAAAAACTCTGAGCCCAAGAATAAGGGCAACAGAACATGCCACCAGAAGGGATTGCCTGAGATTAGGTGACACACCCTGTGTTTCAAAGATCTGCAAACCTAAGTTAATGGGGGAAATAGTCTCTAGTGATGATGGCATTACTCAGGGGGTTGTACAGTGAGAAATGTGGAGCTCACAAACCAGCCTTCAGTATATAAGGTTTATAAACTGTCTCATAGCTTGGTGCTATTGTTGGCATTTGAAAGCTAATAGTCACACATTCTCTACTTCTTCTTGCAAACTAATTGTACCTTAGGCATAGGAGTCAGACAGACGGATACAAATATAAGCTTTATTTTTGGTAGTATTTAATTCAAGAATGTGATATGACTCTACATTCAGAATAACTTTCAATGTGTATATATATGTGTGTGTGTAATATATTATATATATATATATATATATGTAATAGTATACATGTAAATTTTTTTACTTCCTACAATTTTATTTTCATATTTAACTTTTACCTTTGGAGGACACACCGAAGACTGAATAAAGATTCACAGAACAATCATATTAGCTCATTTGTTTGCAGAGGCAACCACTGGCTAACAAATTTTTATATACATATATGTGTAAATATGTAGAAAAAGGCCTCTAGATAAGCTCTTTTGAAGGACTACTTTTTTAAGTTTATAAAAACTGTAAATTAATACTTTCATAAAATACAATAAAATAAATAAATAAAAATTTTAAATAACTATAGAACATACAAATAGTATTTGTTATTTTATTCAAAAGGCATAAAATATAATAAATATAACTAGAATAAACAGAGAAAAAGTACAAGGTTTACAGAAATTGTATGTAATGTTTCTTGAAAGTGTGCAGGTAGATGATTAATGTAGAGAACTTATATCATGATATTTTGTCTTTCTGTAATTATAATTAAACACAAATTATGAGTGAAGAGTAAAAACTTTATATGTAAAACATATATATACTTTATGAAACAATACCATGTATATCAATATTAAACTTTTTTTCTTTTTTGATATGTGCCCCTAGCAGGTACCGAACCCAGGACTCTGGTCCACAGGCCAACTGCTGAGCCAAACTGGCCAGGGCAATATCAAACATTTTTAATGTATCAAATAAGTTTGTATCTTCCTTGTTAATTTACCTGACAAGATGGATTTATGACAATGCTACTTGTAAGCAAAATCTATAATTAAATCATTTTGTATGTGTTTTGCTTGGTTATGTTTTGCTTTCCTAGAATGAGCAGTAGAGAAACCTGTCTCACA